TCTTCAGTCCCTCGGCAGGTTAATGTAAAATCATCTACAGGACAAGTACAGCAACAATTACACAGAAGTACACAGACACCTGCACACTCACTGTACATACAACACACTCAATATACATACAACACACTCAATATACATACAACACACTCACTGTACATACAACACACTCACATACACACAACACTCACTGTACATACAACACACTCACTGTACATACAACACACTCAATATACATACAACACACTACTATACATACAACACACTCACATACAATACACTACATGTACATACAAACACTCAATATACATACAACACTCAATATACATACAATACACTACTGTACATACAACACACTCACTGTACATACAACACACACTCAATATACATAACAACACACTCACTGTACGTACAACACACTCACTATTACATACAACACACTCAATATACATACAACACACTCACTGTACATACAACACACTCACTGTACATACAACACACTCAATATACATACAACACACTCACTGTACATACAACACACTCACTGTACATACAACACACTTGTACACAACACACTCACTGTACGTACACACATCACTGTAGTACAACACACTCACTATACGTACAACACACTCACTGTACGTTACAACAACTCACAACACACACTCACTATACATACAACACACTCACTGTACGTACAACACACTCATATACAATACAACAACTCACTGTACATACAACACACTCACTGTACATACAACACACTCATATACATACAACACACTCAATATACAAACACACACCAATATACATACAACACACTCACTGTACATACAACACACTCAATATACATACAACACACTCACTGTACATACAACACACTCAATATACATACAACACACTCACTGTACATACAACACATCACTGTAATACACCACTCACTCATACAACACACTCAATATAACATACACACACTCACATGTTCATTACATACAACACAATCATACAACACACTCACTGTACATACAACAACTCACATACATACAAGTACATACAACACACTTACATAAACACACTCACTGTACATACAACACACTCACTATACGCTCTATTAATTTCAAACAGTTCATTTGAAGTTCAAAGTCAAGAGTTAAACCAAAAGTTAAACCAACAACCCCTCCAGGCGCAATATCAAACATGTTGAATTCTCTCGTCTATTTTTATACATAAATTGCACCGGATTATAAGGAGCATTAAGCAAAACAAACAGGCGATACTTGAGACTGATCCTTAGCCCAGGCGTTCACGATCCATTGGCAAATCGTGGCGTAATTCGGCCGGCGTTGCCTCCCTGTCTTGGTGAATGTGGATTATGAATGTGAATGTGGATAATTTAGGTTTTTCTGCGAGGACGACTCAAATATACATTGAGTAATAATGTGTTTAATGCAACTTTGCGCACATTTGTTTACGTTTTACAGAAACAAAACTTAAAACCACATGACTCATTTGCATAAACTATAAGCACTGAAAAAAAAAAACCATCTGCATCCATCCATCCGTTTTCTTCCGCTTATCTGGGGTTGGGTCGCGGGGGCAGCAGTCTAAACAGGGACTTCCAGACTTCCTTCACCCCAGACACGTCCTCCAGCTCCTCCTGATGGACCCAAGGCATTCCCAGGCCATGCCCGGGAAACCTTCCAAGGGTGGCACCCAGGAGGCATCCGGAACAGATGCCCGAGCCACCTCAACTGGCTCCTCTCAACGTGGAGGAGCAGCGGCTCTACTCCGAGCTCCTCCCGTGTGACTGAGCTCCTCACCCTGTCTCTAAGGGAGCGCCCAGCCACCCTGCGGAGGAAACTGATTTTGGTCGCTTGTATCCGCAATGTCGTCCTTTCGGTCACTACCCAGAGCTCACGACCATCAAAAAAACATCTCGCTCACTTTTACTCCGCGAGGCTTCTGACTACAGTCGCCATAATGCTCTTAAAATCCATCAAGAGGTGCGGATTCGTAGGTTACCAAAGTTGTACTAAAAATACTAAAATTTTGACAGATTTTTGAGCGCCGTGTACCACATAAAATCGGTTCGAGGTCAGTAAACATAACCAGAAGTAATACATAAGGCACGCTGTCGATTTTTGAGAAAATTAAAGTTATTTTAAGTGCGCCTCATAGTCCAAAAAATACGGTAATCGATGCTCACACTAGTGTCGAAACTAGATCCTCATTTGAGCAGGTTTCAATACTAAAAAGTCAGATTCATAGGGCAGAAATGAAGCTTTCCTGAATCGCTTTACAATGATTTTGAGGTGTATCAGAACAAGTATAAGAGCACATAAACCATTGAGGGATTACACAGATATAAGACACATGGGAACAGAAGAAAATACTACGGTTTAAAGTTGAAAATCACATTCTATTGTCTAAAGAAAGTGTTTGGTTTTTTTTATTGTCATTGTGGTATCAGAATTTGTATTGAGTGCATCTATTAGTTAATATTGAAATCAAGTTTGAAATGTTGGTATCTTGACAACAAAAGGAAAAAATTGTCTAATAATTCTTGTTAAAAAAGTAAAAAAAATGCATAGCTCACTCAGATGGCCGATGTCCAAAAGCCTACAGGAAGAAAAATTATCTGATGAAACGTTATTTAAAAATTAAAAAAGCTTTTGGACATCGGCCATCTGAGTGTCCTGTGCATTTTTTATTAACTTTTTTATTTCTGCTTCTTGCGTTTGCACCTCCACAAGAACTTTGGTGTGTCATTTGATCAGAATCTCATCTCAATCCACTCTTCCACAGGACCAGTTCTAGACCGAGCAGTCGCCCCGGGACCCCCACGTCGAACACCTCGTCCACCCCGACCCCGTCAGAGGAGCAGAACGAGGGCGAGGAGGAGAGCGTGGAGCCGGAGGAGGACGTGCCGGCCCCGGAGCTGGAGGGGGCGTCTCTGTCCACGCCCGCCCCCAGACTCAAGAGGCCCTTTCAGCTGCTCATCGCCGCCGCCATGGAGAGGAACCCCACTCAGTTTCAGCTGCCCAGCGAGCTCACCTGCACCACCGCACTGCCAGGTGGGTGAGGACCAGGGCTGCGTATCATTAAGAAATTTCTGATACGATACAAACCTCGATACAGTGCACTTTTGATTCAATACGATATATTTCAAATCAATTCAATGCAGTTCAATAATAAACTAGAAAAGCACTCAGAGAGCGCAGACCTCCGCCAAGGACTACCCCCATTTTTTATATAAATTGCGATAAAATCAGTCTTCTGGATCAGATCCGGATCAGCCTTTGGAATATGAAAGAGGATCCCATTGTCCATCCCTGAGTCAAATTTCATGGGGTTTGTTCAATAATTAACCGAGATATTGAGAAACAAAATTTTTGGCCCCATTTACCACAATGTTAACTAAAATTTCAAAGTGATCCAGAATCCAGGATTTCTTCCGGATCACCCCCAAAATGAAATCAGTTCTTCCTTTTCACATTTCCAACAAATCCTGAAAATTTCATCAAAATCGGTCCATAACTTTTTGAGTTATGTTGCTAACAGACAGACAAACAAACAAACAGACAAACAAACGCCGGCAAAAACATAACCTCCTTGGCGGATGTAATAAAGGCTAAATCATGTCTGTGATACTAAAAGTATTTGTTAAACCACTTCTTGTGCAAAGTTCATATGAAACACAAATATTTTAATCATCAAAACAGTGAAAATGTCAAATGTGTCGCATAAATAAGTTTCCTTCCACCAAACAAGCAAAAAAACTGTAGCTCTGTAACAAAATAATTGAGTAAAATAAACCAAGAAATAGTCTTGGTGACGATATCGATACTGTATCATCACATTAAACGATACGGTATATATACATTTTTTATTTTTGCACACCTCTAGAGATGACTGAAGGAGGAACGAGGCAATAATATGGTGAAATTTTGTGAAGTGAACACATTTTTATTTAAATGAACTCTATGTAAGATGATTTTAGAATTTTAGATTTCATAAATGTGACCCATGTCCCCAGATATGAGGTAAAACATGGTCATATCTAATATAGTTTTTACTGATAACAACTGCAATGCTGATTTATTTTTAATTACAAAAACATTGGACATGATTTATTTATGTTATAATTTGGTGTTTTGGTTCATTATTCAGTCAGAAAGCAGAATGAACCTCACATGAGTCTCTTTGGGCTGCTGTCCATCATCAGTCTGTGTTAATGCAGCATCTGCAGGTTCAGAGACTGTCAGTCAGTCAAGGTTATTTGTGATTTTAGTAGCTTTTTTAATGTTAGAACTGCCTACAGGCTACATACAGGTCCATTTAATGAGGACTGAAACTAAACATGAGTCGAATGTAAGGTTTTATTTTACAAGCCACTTCTGACCTGCATGTCTCTGTTTTAAATGTTTTGTAGGGAGCAGTAAACGGAGGAGGAAAGAGGAGCTTCTGGGGAAACCGTTCAGGAGACCTCAGCACGAACTGGACGCCAACGGCCTGGTGCCTCTGCCCGTGAAAGTCTGCTACTCCTGCAACAGGTCTGAGCTGATCAAACACAAACTGGACTACTGTATTTTTCAGACTATAAGTCACACCAGCCAAATATGCGTAATGAAGAAGAAAAAAAATATATAAGTCACACTTCTTGGGGCAAATTTATTTTATAAAATCAGAGACCAGGAACTGACATTTCCTGTTGAAAGTCAAGTTCTAATAAAAACACTAGAAGAGAGAACAACAGACTGTTAACGTCACATATGAACAGTTCTTCAGATAAACTATAACATAAACAACAGAACAGAACAAGTTTAACAAACTCTCCATCTCACTCCAAATCACTAAATCCATTCAATTCTTCATCCTCGGTGTCACTTCTTAGCAACTCCGGAGGTAAACAGAGCGTCTCTTCCTCTTCTGTGTCGCTGTCGTCAGACTCAGCATCAGTTCCAGTTAGAATTATTTGTGTCTTTCTGAATCCCGACAGGATGGTTTCGGTGTCACTGAAGTCCAGACTTTGTCCATCCATCCAGTGACTTCAGGGAAGTTTCATGGTGCATTTCCTCTCCAGTGTCTCACAAGTTTCTCTCTCACTCCAAACTTTCTTTCTGCTGCTCGATTATCGTTTTCAGCTGCAGATTTCACGACTTGCAGTTTGTAATCTGCGAATCTGATTTTGTTTTTGGGGGACATTTGTGTTCAGTCTTCTCAGTCGTCTTTATAAATTTGTTTAAAAGTTAAATTGTTCAGTGGTGCAGAAGTAACGGTGCGATCGACTGACATGATACAGACAGGACAGAGGCTCTTTCTGCAGGAGACATGCGCAGTAGAGCCAAGTCCATCGCACCAAAGGATAAGTCGCAGGAAACACCCAAACCATGAAAAAAGTGCCACTTATAGTCCAAAAAATACAATAATAATGTAATAATGATAATGTGTTTATAACTGTGTCCCTTTTGTTTCCCAGGAGCTGCAGACTGGCCCCTCTGATCCAGTGTGACTACTGCCCCCTGCTGTTTCACATGGACTGCCTCGACCCTCCGCTCACTGCACTGCCTGCTGGGAAATGGATGTGCCCCAACCACGTGGAGCACCTGGTGGTAAGGTTTACTCCATCCCTACTGACCGTCAGAGCTTTCAGCAGCGCCCTCTGGTGGTTCATTCATAGAACCGCATCTATATTCATGAGTTTAGTTTTATTTAACCATTTATTTGTATTAGTCTGTGTGTGCTGACAGCTGACACTTAACTCTTTCCCTCTTGGACGCTGACTAGGAACAACCCTTACACATATGACTAGGGCTGCCCTTAGAGCATAACTGCATAAAAGAAAACAGACTTCCACGAGTGATTATAAATGATTTTCACACTCATGAACTTTATTGAAACACAGACATATTTAGTATCTCTGGAAACCTTAGACTCTGAACTCTTCATTTCTGGATGTTTAAATGTGATTCAACTCATTTACAGGTTTATAACAGCTCACTGAAAATGAGAGTTTACCTGGTCAGGTACTACATTCAGAGTGCTATATTCATAAAAAAATGTAAAAAATATATGTCAAAGTATTTAAACAGATTTCATATCACCAGATACAGTAAAGTCAAGTGTACATCTGTTTTTACCTGTTGTACACCTCTGTGCACCTAATTCATTTTTTCCATTTAACTTATTCAACTCATTTAGCTTATTATAATATAATAATATAATAATAAAACTCTTCCCCGTGAGTGGGTGTTCAATATTTGTCATCTTGGTTACTTTCTCGTGCGTGGAGCTCCACATGTAAACGTTTGTTTCTGTAGCGATTCTGTTATACATCGCATCTTGGAAAAAAATACTGAAATATTTCAAAGGACTCGCCTGGTGCAACATCCAGATTTCAGGGCAATTTTGGTTCATAATCGAGTATAAAGTCCCTGATATATAGTTAGTTAATAGTTTGTTTGGACATCGCAGGACTCCACACAGACGCATCACCGGCGTTCTCAGCTTTGTAAGTTTCACTCTCCAAAAGTCCATCGCTATCGCCGTTTTCCACTTTATAATCAACTTCATCATCACTTTGAAATCTTTCTCTAAAATTATCTATAAAATACGTCCACTTCTCATTATTTCTAAAACTGTGCGCCGCAGTGCCGCAACCTTTCCACCGCACGTGTTTCGTGTTGTATTTTTTCCGGAAGCTACATCGTCACAACTTCCAGTAACTTTGGAAAAAATCGGTGAAAACACATCCTTGAATCCTACTGGTCAGCCTGTTGTGAGTTGTAGTGGCCCCCACCTATCACAGCCTCTGTTTAAATGTGAAAAACCAAAACCGTTTCTAATGGTCGTCAAATCACGTCTTAAAGGTTGTATAGAGGATTTTTTTTAAGGAAAGACAAATCCAGCGACAGTCCTTTTTAAAATGTAGTGCATGCGTGACACCACCTTCCTCCTCCACAGGTCCCTCTAGAAATAATTTAGAGACCGACACCTCAGTTTTTAGACCCTTCGTCTGCTTCAGTCGCTGGAAGGAATCTTCAAGAATCACCTCAGTTTGTCTTCACTCCTTTTCTCCTTTCTCCTTCTTTCAGCGACGTCAAAACGACTTTCTTTTGCGGCGAACTGGTCGTGGATTCTCGTCCGCCATCGCAACAAACTTTGTGCGAACTGCGAGAGAGCCACAATTAGAAAAAGCCTCTAAGACCCGCTGCATAGTTACCTTAGAAACGTAGGGAGTTTGATTGACAACCTGACAGCCAATAGAAAATGAGGCAGCCTCATTTTCTATTGGCTGATGTTTATCTGGCCTCAACACATCCACAGTTGATAGATTTTCTTTCTTTTTTTTTTTTGGTCATCATAATTACAAGGCTGCTGCGTCTCTGTCATGGTGTTTTAAACTTTCATTGACAATTTGAAACAAACAAAAAATCCTCCATACAACCTTTAAGTGATACAGCGGAGGTGTCAAAACACGTCATTAAGGATACGGGGGGGTCGTCAAATGTCGTCTTCATGATGGAAAGAGTTAAACAAATCGGGCTATTTCTTTTCTTTTCTTTCGTTTTTTTTTTTTTACATTTTTATAAACCTGTTCGTTCTTCTGTTTCCTGCAGCTAAACCAGAGGAGCCTGAGCCTGTCTCGGAGGTGTCAGCTCTTTGACCAGTTTCAGGACCGAATGTCTCAACACGCCGTCAAACTGGACTTCCTCCGGCGAGTCCACCGACAGCACGCCCCCAACCGCCGATCCACGCACAACCACAAGAGGACTGTCAAGGTCTGCTCACAAACACAAACACGAGATCAGTGCAGAACCATATGTAAAAAAACAAAACATTTCATAATTAGGAATGACTGCCTGGCCATTTAAAGAGGCTGTACATGTAATAAAGTTAAATTATTTTTTATTAAAAGCAGCTCTTAGCGTCAAAATAACTCTGAAAACTGTGAAAAGCTCTTATGAACTGAATAACTGGGAAGCTCTGAATGCATAAAGGTAAGTGAGGAATGACTTTAGACCACTGTAAACTATTTAAAACAAACCAGTTCTGTTTTTCTTGTTTTTAAGACAGGAAAAACAGGTACAGTCTTAACCCAATATTCTACAACAAGTTTAACCAATGAGAGAAACTCCAACTTATTGAGTCTGTAGCATCCTGAAGGATTTAACACGAGCACGAGGTTGAGTAAACGGGGTTTATTCTTGTCTTAACAGTCTGTGAGAACTGGTCACAAAAAGAAATGCAATAAAATAAAAATACCAAAATGAATGTTGTACTTTACGATACATGAAAACTTAAATTATGCAAAAATAAAAGCACATAAACCTCGTGAGCTGACATCCACGAGGGGCTAACTGATCATCTATGTCAGAGGTGTCAAAGTCAAATTCGCAGAGGCCAAAATTAAAAACTGGGACTAAGTCGTGGGCCAAACTAAATATTTATTGAAAAATTTAAACAACATCTGCATGTTTTCTCTTCTTTCAAGATATTTCTTATTAAAGTTTCTTATATTTCTTATTAAAGTAAATGTTTAATAATAGTTTTGCTTAAACATTGAATCCAGAACAAGCAGAATATAAAATAATAACAAAATTTAAATAAGTAATGTCTCTGTAGTCTCTCTGTAGCCGGCAGGCAGCTCTAATACATATTTGATATGATCTCGCGGACCAAATATAATTATATCATGGGCCAAATTTAGCCCCTGGGCCTGAGTTTGACATATCTGATCTAGGGCCTCAGTACAAACTCCTCATATTCTATATAAATACCAATAAAGATATCAACATTTTTTCATTGTTTTTACATTTTTACATCATTTTTTACAATCTTACTGGAGATCTTCAAAACGTGGCTGTAGCAGAGCGCTGACGGCTGAGTGCGCCACTAATTAGGGTCGGGCAGAACTTTATTTAATATTGTAGTTAATAGTTTGTTCTGTACGTGTTTCACCACTAGATGGCGCCAAAGTAAAATATAAAGGACACACTCTAAATTAAATGCAGAAATATTAGGGACTGTTACACATAGCGCTGGGTATCATTAAGAAGTTGACGGTCCGATACATGCTTCGATATTTAGGCCACGATTCGATACATACTTCGATACACAGGCCACGATACGGTACATATCTGGATGCAGTGCACTTTTGATTCAATACGGTTCAATTAAAATAAAGGCTAAATCATGGCTGTGATACTGAAAGTCTTTGTTAAACCACTTCTTGTGCAAAGTTCATAAGAAACTAGGGGTGTAACGATATCAGAGTCTCACGATACGATATCCTCACGGTACGAGTTTCCTTTCGCTGAACAAACGACAAAACTGTTGCTCAAAACAAAATTTAATTTAGTAAAATAAACCAAAAAATACTCTTGGCGATATATCAGTACAGCAGCCCACGATATCGATACTTGGTCATCACATGAAGCGATACGATACAACAATATTTTGATATTTTTGCACACCCCTTGTTACACAGACATTGGTTTAAAGTCATGTCTGGATTATTCTAAACAAACGCAGGAGCAAAATGTTGATGCAAACTCCATTTTGACTGTTTTGGCGAGGATTTTTTTTTTACCTGGACTGTAGGACTAGTGAAAGGCTCAGTATATCAGGATTTGGTGTAGTTTACTTGTTTATATTTTTGTCTAACCTTGGCTCTGCTTTGTGGTCTCAGGTCCCAGATGCGATAAAGTCTCAGTACCGGAGCCCGCCGGCCCTGGCCCTGCCTCTTGGGGTCCGGCAGCTGGAGCTGGTCTGTGGAGGAGAGCTGCAGCCCAAACACCTGACGTCCCAGAGCGAACAGGACGAGGTGAGAGTTTCAGACGAGATACGTAAACACGAGATACGTAAACACATTTAAAGAACGATCAATACTGGGAAAACTACAGATGGGACAAGATCTCGTGACAAAATTCCCACAAGACTTAGACTTAGACAAACTTTAATGATCCACAAGGGAAATTATTTGGACACAGCAGCTCACACATCAAAATATAAAATAATAACAAAGAGAAAAAATATAAATGTCCCATAATTATATAACAGGATATGTACAATTAAAAATAAATTCAAGGCAAGTTTATTTGTATAGCACAATTCGTACACAAATAACTTTATAATGTAACTACTTTACTGAATAAGAAATACATTAAAAACAAATCAAAACATAAATAATCATCGTAAAGATTAATTACATAAAGAAGAGAGAAGAGTGCGGAATGAAAACCTTTCAGTCAAATGCAGCTAAACAGAACCGTTTTGAACCTGGATTTAAACAATTTACAATATAAAATACAATAGAAAAATGGAAAAAAAAAATATCTTTAAATAAACTAAAAATATATTCTTTGAGAAGCTGTAGTTTCAAAAAGCTGCAGTGACAACAGAAATATTAAATACAGTAAATCAAAAATTGGTAACTGAACAACTGTACAATAACTCGCCCTTATGTAACAGATAATACTCCCTACAACTGTACAGCAACTCGCCCTTATGTAACAGATAATACTCCCTACAACTGTACAGCAACTCGCCCTTATGTAACAGATAATACTCCCTACAACTGTACAGCAACTCGCCCTTATGTAACAGATAACCCTGTGTCCTGTCAATCATCATGACAATATAATTTTTTCTTTTTAATCTCTTGTATATAGCTGAGATATATATTTATATATATTTATTTAATTTTTACTTGTACATGGGTCTGGTCAAGTGTTAACGGAGGAAACGGGCAGATTTTTTACATTCAAATGTCTCTTATTCAGAAACTAGAGGAACTATTGAAATAAGTAAAGTATCAGAATGTAGGAAAGAGTTACACTCCAACAGGGTCAAGTTAAACCTGTGATATTCTTTCAAGTTGTTGACAAAAAAATTTAAAAAACTCATGTCGGTAACGGAGGGAATGAAATATGCAGCACTTTTTGGTCAGTAAATCCAAACAGTGATAACTCTTGGTTCTCACTTACATATCCTTAACAAACTGGTTTGAATATTTGCTTCATATAGTTTTCTACCATATGGTACAAGATTAGGTTGAAAAACCTCTTACTTTTTGACTTATGAGATTTTTTATTAAGAAAGGTCATGGTAACGGAGGGAAAATTGTACAAACAAGTAGAAGGTGCAGGATTTTACATCATTTGTCACTTTTTTCTTCTGAATACTTTAATATTACTTCAAAATGAAAGGAAACTATTTCTATAAAATATGTCAGTCCTTCCAAGCAAATTTTTATCATTTTAAAATACTTTTTTTTTTTTTTTTTTTAAACATGTACCTTCATCAACAGTTCAAAGATGGAATAACACAAGATATGATGAAATACATCCATTTATTTACATGATTTTCAGGTCTTTAAAATTTGGGAAATAATTTTTGTTCCATGTTTCATACATGGTCTGTTTAAAACGTATGGAACTTTAGAACCAAAAATGGTACAGAAAAAAGGTAAACCGTTTCATAAACTAGAGTACATATGTATCTGTCCAATACATTTTTATGTCAGATGCATTAACTTGATTTTTGGCCTTGTTGTTTACTTCTGCTTGACCGGGCCCACATACATTTATATAATCGTACTTAATTCATCATTCTCTTGCTATTTCTTCTACTTATTTATTTATCTAGACTTTATTATAATTTGCTGTGAGCTACTGTGTCCATATAATTTCTGTTAATTAGAATTTTACATAAGATCGATTAAAAAAAATATATTTTAAACAGAAATGTCTTTGCACTGAATACTTGGCTGGGCAGGTGTAATGGAAGCCCAAGTTGCTGAAATTTGCGAAATTTTTCCATGATATTCTAATGTTTTGAGACACGTCTTGTATTAAATCAGACATGTTCTTTGTTTTAAACCTTTTTATTTCTTCCTCAGTGGCTCCAAGACGTCATCGCGCTCCAGTGCAGCATCATGAGACACCTGTCCATCAAACAGAAATCTCCCGAGTCCGACTGGGAATCGCACAAAACCAGCACAGACCTGAGTCCGGACCAGAACCAGGATCTCAAATCCAAGAAGCAGGATCTAAAACCCTCCGGAGAACGGACTAGTCCCTCCCCTGCGCCCTGTGAAAAGCAGGTGGAGCCGGGTCTTTGTAAATGCATTTCTATCCCCTGTCAGAACTGTCGAAAGCCCAACGGTCCGGTACCAGACGAGAGCTCGCCGCCCAAAGCCAACGGGCCTCTGGAATGCCACAGCGTCCCGTGCAAACAGAGCGAGCACAGACTGAAAACGGCAGGGGGCGCTGTGCAGGTGAACCACATAGGGGAGGTGAAGCGGGAGCCGGCGGAGACCAGCTCGGAAGGGGAGATGTGCCCCCCCTCGGCCCCGACGATATGGGGCCAAAACGAGAGGAGTCGAAACCAAGACGGAGACGCACTTTTGAAAAACGCGGAGGAAGAGACGAGGAAACACCAAGCAACTTCACTCACTCCAGGTACGAACGAAAAGAAAAAGAAAAGGGTCCGTCAAATGCTTTTTTTTTTTCTACGTAGAGATGTTATTGCTTTGTCTGGAATGTTTCGCAGTGTGGCTTTAAACCTTTCTGTCTTCATGGCGACCAAACCAGACCAAGTTACAGGTCAGATCTGTGGAAAGGCGACCCCGCTCACAGTCAAAATCCTTGTTTTTCTAGTTATTTTTGAGCTATAAAACCATCTGTAATTTAAAAAAAATGTAAAGTAGAGCTGTTTAATGTCGTACTGTGGAACATTCCAGAGAGAGCAGTGACATCTCCGAAAAGTTACACAGTGCACCTTTTATACTTGTTTAGTGTTCATAAATTGATGTACTGATACTGTTTTTATTGTGTTTATGCCTTGGAAAGTGGCCTTGGGTGTTAGAAAGACACTTATAAATACATTTTATTATTATTAAATGTATTATTATAAACTAGTGTTGTCACGATATTTACATTTCAAACTCAATTTTGGTCCTCAGGAAAAGTCTCATTTCCACACCACTATACGGTCTGTGCGTATGACCTGCAGACTTATATTCTCTGAAAAGTTTCACATGAACCATCTCCGCACAGAACAGACTCACCATCAGCAGCATATCCTCTGTCACAGAAAGAACACTCATATTCCACTGAGTCGTGTCCTTTAGTCCGACAGAAGCTGAACCGCATCAGCGCACAAGGAGCGAGCTGTTTTTATCAGCGCTTTATAATTAACTTATATTACCGTATTTTCCGGGCTATTAGTCGCTCTGGATTATAAGACGCACTGTCATTAAATGGTTTATTTTTTAACTTTTTTCACAAATAAACCGAACCGGACTTTAAAGGAAACACAACAGTGTGATGGGTGAGTGGTTTTGTTTGTTTGTTCGTTCACGGTGACTCTGGGCTTTGTTCAGTTGTGGCATGTAGGGAGGGTGCTGTCTGGGACCAACGGATTGTCGGCGTGTTCGCGGTGACTCAGTTGTTCAGTCGTGTCTAGAAGCGGCACGTTGCGCTCGCTTTTTCGGTTCGTTCCTCCGTTCCGTTCCTCGTCGGCGTGGAGTGATGAGTGTGTCTGTGGGGGTTTTTCGCTGCGCGGTCGCTGTCTGCTCCGTGTGTGTTTGCGTGTTCTGCGGGTGGTGCGGCTTTGTAGTTTACTGAAGTCGTGCTGGGACACCCGAGTGGATTCGTGTATCGGGCGCTCTGGATTGTGGGGTACGCGGTCATTTTTTGATGCAGTTAGAGGCTTAAGAGTGCGCCCAATAGCCCAGAAAATACGGTAATTTATGCAAATGAGCCATGTGGTTTTAAGTTTTGTTTATTTTTTTGGGACAAACTCGCTCGTGGCCGGACTTGTCGTCTTGTCTTGGTCTCCCTTGTGAGCGTCACGTGACAACGGAACGAAACTAATCGAACGTCATCTCCCCACGCGGTTAAAAGAAACATTATAGACAATATTAGTTTTAAGTTGTGATCGCATTAAACTGAAAATACAACCACACATTTATTGGTGCTGAGCAAACTAATTTAGATATCAGTAAATTATAAAATGATATTAGGTCCTTATGCACTGCAGATTTTTTTAATGACGGTAATGAAACTGATACCAACTTTAATGGACATAACTTTAGCTGCCATGTTCCAAATAGGAAGTGATGGGTCCAGCATGGGTGACTGAGGAGTTAGGGGCTAGAGTGGACATTCGGACACAGACTTAGACTCATAAAAACTTGATCCACAAGGAAAATTAGACAAGACGAGATTTTAACATAATTCCTAACACCGGTATATGATTTTCACACTTGAGTTTTTCAAATTTTTTATGTATTTGATTTCATATTTTTCAGTTTTAGTGCTGCTTTTCAGAACTGGAAGAGATGAAACTAACAAAGCGTAACTCTTTTTCGTCCAATCCAAATGTAAACACTTGAAAAACAATCTCACAATATCATTTTTCTCATGTGTGCAGGATCAAGTAAAGATAAAATGGAAAATAAGTAATAAAAACAGATAATAATCGAGACCCAACTTGAAGAAACTACTACTTAAAGCTGCTCAGAACCTTCTCTTGATCTTCTCTGAGCGCGATTGTGATGGATTTGTTTACATTTTGTTGTTGATCTGACTGTGTTTTTTCTGTTTTCAGATGTAAAGGCAGGTCCTGGACTTATAGGCAGCTCTCTCTCCATGGATCACCTCTCCGCGCTCAGAGACGGGCTGGACGGCGACGGAGGTGAAGCTTCTTATTTCTTTTTTCATCTTCTCTCATTTTCCTTTCGTCTTTTCGTCATCTTTTTGTCACAAACACGGACAAACTTAAATGGCTGAAGGTGTAACATAGAGCAGGACTGTCTAAACCACAGGTGTCAAACATACGGCCCGGGGACCAGATCCGGCCCTCCGAGACCTTTAATCTGGCCCTCGGCTGATTTTCTACTAAAATATTTTAATTATATTTTCTATTTAAATATTGGTGATTTTCTGCAGTGCTGAGCATAACAGCGTCTCTGTACGTGGCCCCTCCCACAGAGCAGCACAAATGAAGACTTGTCTCTTTCCAAACGCTCTTAAAGGACGATCGTTTTGACTGTTGACCGTGACACCTCCATCAACAAAATGTCCAAAACTGAGAAAAGTGGAGCCAAGTGCAGGATTTTCCAAGAAAAATTTACTTATTCCTATTTACATACAAGTTCATGTTAAAACATTGTGTTGAAATTGTGTTTTTCTTAAAATTTCAGGTTGTTTATTATATTATAATTTTTGTAAAAGAAAGAGTTCATTAATTAAAAAAGATTTCTGTAATAGATTTGTGTTTCTCTGCACAAATATTTGAATTTATTGTTATTTTAGGGGTTTATATGCCATGAGTTTTCTGATCTGGCCCCTTTGGGATTAAAGTCGGTTGGATACGGCCCCCGGACCAAAATGAGTTTGACACCCCTGGTCTAAACTATCGCTTTTACTGCCTGTTTACTGCCGAAATTTTGCATGAAATTAAGTTTTGGCATCCTGATCCAAAAAGTCAGTGACACCCATGCCATAATTTTTATGCCGTTGCCATAGCGATGACATAAACTCTCCATGTTATTCCATTGGTAAAATCGACAAATCGCACAAACTTTGACCGATTTCACTCAAATTTAAATCGTGAGTTCAGTAGTGCCCCCTAGAGAATTTGTATCAAAAAATAACGTTTTATTTGTCATAGATATAAAAAAAATTTGGTATCCAGATGTGTGACATGGTCTTGATTTAAAAAAAAACCTCAGAGTTGGGTTAAACCAGGGGTGCTCAATACGTCGATCGCGATCTACCAGTCGATCGCCGAGGTCGTGTGGGTAGATCACCGTGTCTCGTCTCGGACTCGCGTTTGGACTCGGTCTTGTCTCTCACTCGAGGTCTGACACTCAACAAGTGCGATCATGTTTCATTCCGGCCGCTGCTGTTGGTAATAAACTTGTAGCGGGTGCAGGAGCGTGTGGGGCGTCTCAGTGCAGCCTGTGCGCTCATTTGAAACCCGCGGAGACTCTACGGCGCATCACAAACACACACGCTCCCTATGCACGGCTCGTCTGTGACAGCGTGTGCCCTCGTGTACCAGCGTGCATCACAGGGCAGGTTCAACTTCCTAAACATCCTACCTGTCCACCTGCCTCACGTCAGCACGCCGCCCCTCGCCTTTTCACGCTCTCGCTCCTTCCTGCGTACAGCCAACACAAGCCCCTCCCACAGTGCGGCTGATTAGAAGAGCAAGACCAAACGTGAAGCAAAAACCAGTCTAAATTTGTGTTATAGTGTTGGCACAAAGCAGGTCTACAGCATAGAGCGGATCTACAGAACAGACCTACTGCCACATTTGACTGAAATTTGCCTAACAAAAGTGCACAAATGCATCTGTGTTTGTCACGATGTGCGTTTGGTTTGGTAAACGTGCAGAGGCTGGTAAATATCACTGCAAAACCAGAAAAGAATGTAACTCCAGTTTGGAACTTTAAAAAACAGGTTTAAAAATCTTCCTTCACTTTTTTCACAGTTTTGTGTAAAGTGTCAGAGGAAGTTCTCTTAAAGAAGAGGTTCTCAAACTGTGGGTGAGGGTCCAAAAAAGGGGCACAGAGTGTTTCAGTGCAGTTTGTTTGGCTTGTATTAGGTAGACTTGGTCATTTTGGAAGTAGCTCACATGCTGAAAAAGTGTGAACACCTCTGGTTAAAGCTTAGGGTTATTAGGGTTAGTGCGGCGTTTTGCGGGCCGATCATCTCCACTTGCGGTTATATTTAAAGTAAGAACGAGATAAAATTTCCACAAGGCGACGCAAGATATGAGATTGGATCTACAAGAACGAGATAAAACGAGATTTTAAAATAATTCTTAATATATAAATTTTCACGGTTCAGTTTCCAATTTTGCATTTTTGTTTCCATTCTAGTTCTGCTTCTTTGAACTGTAAGAGACGCAGCTCTCCAACTCGTAACCCTTTTTCATCCAATCCAAATGTAAACACTTGGGAAAAAATCTCAGGAGATAATCTTTCTCTTCCAAAGTTTCAGTATCGATTCGTCTCTGATGTGAGGCTGACCTCCTTGTTTGTGTGCAGGCATAGAGCTGGACAAACTGGACTCCGAGATGATCAAACTCTTGGCGTGGCAGAGGATACAACAGCTGTTCCCCAAGAAAGAGCCCAGCCTTCCATCTCCCCGAGCCGCCTCCCTCACCTCCAAAACACCACCGCCCGTCCCAGACAGTAAGCATGAAGTTTACAGTTTTGTTTTGCTCCAACTTCCGAAGGTCAGACGTTCGATTTCAGCTTGGACAAAGTTGTGTTATTGTCTCATTTGGCGAGACACTTCTCCCACGCCGCTTGGTATGAATGTCGCGTGTGTTGGTGGTGTTCAGAGATGCTGATGGTGCAAATGTGACCCTGAGACCATTTGGCTCTGTTCACACTTACCGGAAGACACTAGAAACACGCGGATTACGACTTCCGGCGTAGTTCCCGACACTGGGCGCTTGATAAAACCGTGGGTTCAGTAGCAGCGTCTTCACAACCTGCCAAAGCTTTTCCATGGGGGACAGGACTCTAATCGTGTCTTTACTGTCACTTAGAGGCAGCTGGTTGTAACTATTGATCTGATAAACGTAACTCAGCAATTAGACAATGACAAATTATAAAACACAAATTAATAAGCAATTTATAAAAGGAATAAAGAAAGAATACACTGACATCTAGAGACAACAGAGCCCAAAGGAAGTTGTCAGTCTTCCGATTTTGTGACGTAAGCGTGAATAGAGCCCATCGGTTCTCAGGCCCTTAGACTCATTCGTGAACTGGCCCACATGACCTTCAGCGGTATGTTTTACTGCAGGTTTTTTTAAATGTGCCCAGATAAAGTCAATTTGATAAAGCCTATTGAGAATGTATGTATGAATAAAGGGCTGGGGGCTCATTCTGACCTGATATAATACACGTAATACATGCAGTGTTGGGGAGTAACAGATTACATGTACTGGAGTTATGTAATCAGAGTACAAATTATGAGTAACTGTATTCAGTTACAGTTACTGTTTCAGTGAGTAGTAATTGGATTACAGTTACTTTGTTGAAATAAATGGATTACACAGAGGTATTTTCCTGTTTTCACATCCCCCCCCCCCCCCACTCTTTTTTTTTTTTTTTTTTTTTTTTTTTTCCCGGTAATTCCACTCATTGCTGGACACTAAAACCAGGACTAAAACCAGGACTAAACCAAGGACTAAACCAGGACTAAACCAGGTCTAAACCAGGATTAAAATAGGACTAAAATAGGACTAAATCAGGTCTAAACCAGGACTAAAACAAGGACTAAACCAGGACTAAAATAGGAATAAAATAGGACTAAACCAGGTCTAAACCAGGACTAAACCAGGATTAAAATAGGACTAAACCAGGACTAAAAACAGGGGACTAAACCAGGACTAAAACAGGACTAAACCAGGACTAAACCAGGACTAAACCAGGACTAAACCAGGACTAAAATAGGACTAAACCAGGACTAAACCAGGACTAAAACCAGGACTAAAATAGGACTAAACCAGGTCTAAACCACGATTAAATAGGACTAAACCAGGTCTAAACCAGGACTAAAACAAGGACTAAACCAGGACAAAAATAGGAATAAAATAGGACTAAACCAGGTCTAAACCAGGACTAAACCAGGACTAAACCAGGACTAAAACAAGGACTAAAACAGGACTAAACCAGGACTAAACCGGGACTAAACCAGGACTAAAACAAGGACTAAAACAGGACTAAACCATGCTGTGCGGATTGTGTCTCCTCCTCCTCCATCAATAATATTTTTAATTTGGTTCAGTAAAGTCTGGGCTTTTCATTTTCTTTTATCAGGCAAAACTTCTTATGTGTGGATTTCCTCGTCTTTGGATTACTTGATTTGCTGTAGAGAAGCAAAGTATTCAGATTACATTACTCACTTTAAGTCATTTAATGGATTAAGTTACAAACTACATTTTGGGGTATGTAATCTGTAATCTGTAGGGGAATACATTTTAAAAGTAAACCTTCCCAACACTGAGTACATGTTTGGTGTCAGTCTGTGTTTTGATATTCGGCCCTTGATAAAAAACATTTGGACGCTCTTGGTTTAACCTCAGGGCAGCTGTGTTTTTTTTATTTCATTCATTCCCAGCAAATTAAGATAAAATAATCCTTTATTGTCTCCCATGGGAGAAATTTGTCTTGGGACAGGGGGTCACATGTTTTATCAAAAAACAGGACAACACAACACAAAGCAGCACATAAACAAACACCATAAAACAAAGTAAATATGAGACCAAGTATGACCACGAGTGATGCACCAACAGGACCCTTAAATTATCCTTAACAGGCCCTTGCATTCTTCTGTTCTATTAATTATTGCACATTCCCTAAGCCTATGTGCAGTTTTAGTTATAATTATTGCACATTCCCTAAGCCTATGTGCAGTTTTAGTTATAATTATTGCACATTCCCTAAGCCTATGTGCAGTTTTGATTGCACATTCCCTAAGCCTATGTGCAGTTTTAGTTATAATTATTGCACATTCCCTTAGCCTATGTGCAGATTTAATTATTGCACATTCCTTAAGCCTATGTGTAGCTTTAATTGCACATTCCCTACACCTATGTGCAGTTTTAGATATAATTATTGCACATTCCCTACACCTATGTGCAGTTTTAGATATAATTATTGCACATTCCCTACACCTATGTGCAGTTTTAGATATAATTATTGCACATTCCCTACACCTATGTGCAGTTTTGATTGCACAGTCCCTAAGCCTTTTATCATTATTTTTTGACTGCATTATCTGAGTTAAGCAGTTTAACAGCTAGTGGTACAAAAGAATGTTTGAAATTCATGAACACAAGAACTATACGTGTATCTTGAACTCTTAATGTAATGTGAGCTCTAAAAGGAGTGCGAAGAAAAGCATTTATTTAATCCCACCCCTGTCTTTAATTGGAACATACTACACAGCTATGAGCTTAAACCACCCGTATGGAGTGACTGAATCATGAATAACAGTTTAGCGCTTTGAGAGGCTCAGTAGGGTCAGGTGTTGTCATTATTGGTTTAGTCTGTCACAGTGAAGATGTCTCCTAAACTCACACTTTTGTCCTCTCTTCAGGTCAGAAGACGGTTCAGGCGCGAGCAGTATTTTACCCCCTCACGGGAAAAGGACCAGCAGTCAGCATGTGCTACAGGACGCTCTACATAGGAACAGGTAAGAACGGTTCTACCTTAGTAGGCAAAATCGACTTTTTAGAGCTTTCCGCTGCGTTAAAAGGTTGTTTTAGATGTCATCCATGCGTCCCAGGCCCTATTCGGACTCTTCTCAGATTCATATCCATTTTATTTATACTTATACTTTTTATTATTTTATTTATTTATACTTATAAATTTTATTTATACAGCAAATTTTACTAACAAATCAGTTTCCAAAGTGCTGCACAGCGAAAATAAAATGTGATCATACCAGTTCTAAAATAATATAATAAAACCAGTAAAAAATAAATAAAACTAAACCATAAAAATCATAAAATAGCAATTAATGAGTCAAATAAATATGATTCAGATTCAGAAAACTTTATTGATCCCATAAGGCAATTCATTTGCAGCATCTCCGAGCAAACACAAACAAACACACAGTGTGTCAGTCCAATTGTCGTCCACCAGTGGAACTCAAAATAAATAACACATTGCAGAGTAAAACTTCATAAAACTATCATAAAACTGTACCCTTAGAATTTAATAATTTAATAGCACTGGGCACAAAAGAATTAGAAAACCTTTTGGTTTTCTGTACTGGAGCATAAAACCGACGCCCTGAAGGCATCAGGATAAAATCAGGAGCCAGAGGATGGAGCGGCTGAGCCAGGAGACACTTGGCTTTGCTCAGCACTTGCTCCTCCCACAAAGAACTCAGGCCCTCAGTTTGATCCCTGTGATTTTTGAACAGGTTTTAACAATATTGTGAAGTTTGTTTCTATCCTTCGCAGTCAAGGATTCAAACCAGCAAATAAAAGAAAAAGTAAGAAGACTTTCAATAAAAGAGCAATAAAAATTGTTAAGAATAATTTTGTTCACGTTAAAAGAGTTCAGTTTCCTCAACAAATATGTTCTTTGCTGCCCTCGTTTGACGACGTTTTCAGTGTTAAGGTCAAATTTCAGTTTATTGTCCATCACGGTGCCCAGATATTTATAGCTGTCAACTATTTCCACATCATCACCGTGGACGACACTAACACTGTGTGAAGGTGCACGTCTAAAATCAATCAGCATGTCCTTAGTTTTGGCAACGTTCAAATCCAGGTAGTTTTCCTCACACCACTGGACAAACTGCTCCATAAGAGACATAGAGGACCACACAGCTCTTGCGGTGTTTCTGTTGTCTAAAGCTCTTTTCACACAGGATTACTGTATTTTTCTGACTATAAGGCACACTTATAATCCTTTAATTTTCTCAAAAATCAACAGTGTGCCTTATGTGTTAATTCTGGTTGTGTTTGCTGACCTCGAACCGATTTTATGTGGTACATGACGCTCAAAATTCTGTCAAAATGTTTAAGTACGACTTTGGTAAAGTACAAAGCTGCACTGCTTGATGGATTGTCGGAGAATTACTTCGACTGTAGTCAGGAGCCTCGCGGAGTAAAGCCCAGTTTACGGTCCTTAGTCAACAGAAGCTGACTGCATCCGCGCACAAGGATTGAGCTGTTTTTTTCAGTGCTTATAGTTTATGCAAATAAGCCATGTGGTTTTAAATTTTGTTTCTGTAAAACGTAAACAAATATGCGCAAATCTGTATTAAACACATTATTACTCAGTGTATATTTGAGCCGTCCTCAAAGGAAATTTAAAAAAAAAGAAAAATCCAAACTTAAATTATTCACCCACATGCACATTGGTAATACACATTCAACGCCAGGCGAATTACGTCGCGCTCTGCAGATGGATCGTGGACGCCTGGACTAAGGATCAGTCTCATGTGTCGTCCGTTTGTTTCGCTTAATGCTCCTTATAATCCGGTGCAATTTATGTATGAAAATAGAGGAGAGAATTCAACATTACTGATATTGCGCTTTATAGTCTGAAAAATACAGTAGTTTTACCTGTGGACCTTTGGTGATTTGTAATAACTGCAGAGGATGCCTGAGATCTTGATCCCGTCCGAATGTGTCATGTCTGTCATTTGTAAAGTAAAAATTCTGCTGCAAACCTACTACATTTCACCAAACGCAGACATCCGCTGATTATTCTAGACCCGTGTGAATCTGCATCTCAGTGTTTTGTTGTTGTAACTGGACACCTTTTCTATCTCTTTACCTTCCTGCGTTCTTTTCTCTTTCAATCTCAGTCAATGTCAGTAACACAGAGAAATTTACGGACTTAAGAAGTAACATAGAGGGGTGGCGATGATTTGCACATTCCCAGATGTTCCCAGGTTGTAATCTTAAGCGAATACAGCTTAAGATTCAGCCTACATTTAGTAATTAATCCTCCATAAAAGTGTAATATCCTCTCTTGATAATGATAATTTCTTTTAAAGTTCATGATAACTTCTCTTTTATCTTTTTTTAACCTTCTCTGGTGTGTCGTGTTCTGTTGTGCAGGTGCTGACATGGACGTGTGCCTTACCAACTACGGTCACTGTAATTATGTGTCGGGGAAACACGCCTGTATTTTTTATGACGAGGTACAGGACAGCAGCTTTCTGTTATAAATTACATTCATATTGATCTTTGGTTTAGTCCTGGTGTAGTCTACGTGTGTCTCACCTCTCTGCTTTGTGTCATTTTTTTTTTTTTTTTTACAGAATACAAAACATTACGAGCTCCTCAACTACAGCGAACACGGCACCACCGTCGACAACGTCCTCTACTCCTGCGACTTCTCTGAAAAAGCCTCGCCGACGCCTCCGAGTGGACTGGTGGCCAAAGTACAAGGCATCATCCGTAAGTCTGAACTGTTTAAGTCGTCAGAGTTTTGATACTGAATCAAGAGTTACAAACGTAAAATGAAAGAAGAGATCCGAGGCTCAATATGATTAACTATTATTTTAATTTCTTGTCAAAATAATAACAAAGCGTCGTTTATCTGCCCACTCGGGATCTCCGAAGAGCACCTTATTGTTACTGAGCGGAGATCCAGCGAGCGCTCCAACTGCTTATCTTCTGCAGTTACAAATATAACTATGGTTCTACGAATCCTGAATGACGGAGTTTAGTTTAATATTTGGGAATCTGAGTGCACATATCATGGCAACCACAGAGCCAATCATGAACTGTCAACCAAACAAAAGTTATAAAAGTGACTATATACAGTTAACACATTTCTACATGATTTTGGTTCAATTTAATGCAAAAAAATAAGGCATTTTTTTCACTTTTTTCCAATATTTTCATCTTTACCTCATTGGCAATCAACTATTCCCCCAAGTTTTTTTAATATCAGCCAATGTGCCATTCTTTTCTCCAAACTGTTTACTCATTCCACAGAAAAAATTATAAAAATGCAACCAAAATCAATGGATCTGTGATGATTTCATTACCATCAACAGGCCCAGAACCTCAGTAGAATGTTAGTCAACTCTCAACATTCCATAGGCACACAAATGTGTTTTAAGAATTATTTTTTCACTGAATGTTGTCACCACGTGTGTTCTTTGCATCTGGAATGTATTTATAGACAGCTTACCCAACCCACCGAGGATTTGAGGAAATTTTTCATTTTTCAAAATTTTCTGTCACAATATGAAGGTTACCTCGACTAAAATGGCCACAATTTTTTTTCGCGATATTTCCAGTAGAGCAGACCCTCCAATTATTGGTCCTTAGGGTCACAGTTAACAAAAAAACAATGTCAGGTTTAGGGATGGACATGATTAATCGATTAATCGATAATTGATCATTAAGAATTTCATCGATTACGTTCATTTTAATCGACAAACCGAATGTAGGTTGCTGTGTGTATCGTGACCAAACAGGTCTGTACATGTGTCTCTGCATCAGAAGGAGCGAGACACAAACAGTGGGTCAGTCTGCAACGAACCGAAGCACAAATGTGTATTTAACGATGATTTGTACAAGAAATTCCACTCTTTCTGTTGCGTTGGGACAAGTGTGAGTCCATGTGCACAGTGTATAAAGCAGCACATATGTTTCTGTGTCCAGTGGGAAAAAGTTTTTCCAGGTGAGAGTCGCTCAATGTCGATGACGAGTCTCCACCTCCCTCCCCCCGTACGGTGTCCTGGTTTTAACAAACGCAAATATGTTCACACTAACCTGTATTCACCTGAGTCATGTCTTTTAATCCAACAGAAGTTGAACCACATCAGCGACACAAGAGCTGTAGTTTTATCTTCGCTGAGTTTATGTAAATTAGTGATGCGGTTTTAAGTTTCGTTTCTGTGAGAGTTGAACAAAACTGAATTAAACACATTATAATGTCAAACGGGCTGATGTGGCTCTAGAGTCGTTACAGTTTATATGTTGTAAAGTTGAATTTATTTATGCAGATTAGTGCAGATAGTAATAATAATGATGATCATTTTAATATAAAAACGTTAATGATTAATCGATAATCGATCGTTAATTCTTCCGACGATCGATTAAGAAAATTTCATCGAATGCCCATCCCTAGTCAGGCTCAACCCATTTTTGAGACTTTGGCTCCCGGACTATTATGAGTTCCTGTAGACCACTGAATCGAAGTCGAACTTGTCTCTAACATGACCTGACTTGTCGTCTTTTGTCTCGCAGGTCGCAGTAAGAAGCAGCAGGAGGACGGTGACTCCGCTCCGAGCTCGCTCCTCGGCCTCCTGCCTGTAGGGGGCGTGATGAGCAGCCAGTCGCAGGTGTCGTCCCCGGGGCAGGTGTGCGGGTGCAGGTCCAGCAGCTCCAGCCTGATCGGCGGAGGCGGCGCGGGCTGGGAGGGCACGGCTCTGCTCCATCACGGCAGCTACGTCAAACTCGGATGTCTACAGTTCGTGTTCAGCGTCACCGAATTCGCCACCAAAACGCCCAAAGAGGAGCATACCAGCGCGCCCGCCGCCCAAACCGTCCCCGTCAGCGCACCCGTCGGCTCGCCGGCGCCCCCCGCGGCCCTCAGCAGTCCCTCCAGTCAGGACGAAGCGGACATGGAAGTGGAAGGGCCCGAACTGCCGCAGGAAGTCGTCCCGTAGCCCTCGTGTCCCGCCCCCTCCTCCTCCTCCTACGTTGCTTTGGATTGGTTGACGCTAGGAAGTACAGTCAAAGATTGGTGAACGTGATTGGTTGGTTTCGAATCTATCCATGGGTTTCAGAACGATGGAAAAGTTAAGACCGTTTCCATGGCGATTAACAATTGAATCTAATCCTCTAGACTCCTCAAAACTTATAACAGGGAAGATTAAACCCACTGAATTTGACTTAAAAATTGCACTTCTGTAACAATTCTGGTCACGTAATCTGTCACCTTTTTTGTCTTGAATGTTCCGCAGTGTGGCATTAAATTAATCTGCCTAACATTTATTTCTACACAGGTGTTTTTATAGCTGAAAACACCTTGAACATCGAAAATTAAACTTGCAAAACACGTTAATATGTTGTTTTGTTTACGTTACCCAATTTTTAAAACCTGTGCACCCATGGGTTTTAGAATAATTCAAAAAATTTAAAAAATAGGACGGTTGCCATAGGAATTAACAATTTGAAACAAGAACATGCTGTGTTTTTCGGACAATAAGTCGCACCGGCCAAAAAATGCGTATTGAAGAAGACAAAAACATAAGTCACACTTTTTGGAGGAAATTTCTTTATAAAATCAGAGACCAGGAACCGACATTTGATCTTGAAAGGCAAATTCTAGTAAAAACAATAGAAGAGAGAACAACAGCACATATGAACAGTTCTTCAGATAAACTATAACATAAACAACAGAACAGAACAAGTTTAACAAACTCTCCATCTCACTCCAAATCACTAAATCCATTCAATTCTTCATCCTCGGTGTCACTTCTGAGCAACTCCTCGACATCCGGAGGTAAACGGAGCGTCGTAGCCGTTGTCGGACTCGGCATCAGTTCCAGTTAGAATTATTCGGGCCTTTCTGAATCCCGACAGGACGGTTTCGGTGTCACTGAAGTCACTTAAAAGTTAAATTGTTCAGTGGAAATTTCAGTAATGATGCGATGGACTGACAGGATACGGACAGGACAGAGGCTCTTTCTGCAGGAGACATGCGCAGTAGAGCCAAGTGACAGTGGTACAGGAGGAACAGGAGCAGCAGATACTCACACACAAGACTAGAACCTCTCGAAGCTTCACTGTCAACATTTTAATAAACCGAAACCATGAAAAAAGTGTGATTTATAGTCCGAAAAATACAATAATCTACCTAGTAAAACCTTGAACCTTGACTCAAAGCATCAAAAATGAAACTGTACGTTGTTTTGTGAAATATCCTTTCTTCAAGTTACCCAATTTTTGAAACCTCTGTACCCATGGGTTTTAGAATAATTTAAAAAACTAGGATGGTTACCGCAGCAATTAACAGTTCAAAACTAAGACGTATACTAGGGATGGGCATGATTAGTCGACTAAACGGTAATTGATCATTAAGAGTTTCGTCGATTATGTTCATTTCTAATCGACAAACCCAATGTAGGTTTCTGGGTTGCGGCCTCACAGTCCCACGTTTGGGTTCTGGCACCTCTTTGGAGATCACGGTACCTCTCAGTGAGTGTGTTTACATGCACACGCAGGATCCCGGTTACTGCCACGTGAAGAGTTGCACTAAACCTGCACACGTACGATCTTTGAAAACATCACGACACACAGAACGGACTCACCTTCATCAGAACATCCCTCTGTCACAGAAAGAACACTCATATTCCACCGAGTCGTGTCCTTTAGTCCGACAAAAGCTGAACTGCATCAGCGCACAAGAATGTTTTTTTTTTTTTTTTCCTCATCTTAGTTTGTGCAAATTAGCCATGAGGTTTTAAGTTTTGTTTCTGTGAGACTTGCACAAATCTGAATTAAACACATTATATTGTCAAACGTGCTGATGTGGCTCTAAAGTCGTTATGTTTATATGTTGTAAAGTTGAGTTTATTTATGCAAATTAGTAATAGTAATAATAATAATGATACTTATATAAAAACGTTAATGATAATCGAAAATCTATCGTTAAATCTCCCGACGATCAATCGATCAATTAATAAAATTTCATGGAATGCCCATCCCTAACAATCCGTGTGTCATTCGTTCATTCGTTTTTCAATATAAAACCAAAAATAAGAAAACAAAAAAAACAACTGTTTTCTTCGTTATTTGTCTCCAAAACCAAAATGAAAAAAACAAATAATGATTTGTTTTTTCAGTTTTCGATTTTGTGTTTAAATGAAGAATGGAAAAAAACAGATAATGACCGTTTCCCATTTACGTGACTTACGTGACTGCGATGCCGAACTTTTGCACTGCCTACGGACTGAATCAGGACTGATCCAGGTCCGGGACCAGGGCGGGACCAGGGCAGACTCTGAGCTTTGACTCCGAGCCTCCGCAGGGTCCGAGCCTCAGCTTCGAGCTCCGGCCCTGCCATGGGCTCTGAGCCTCCGGTCTGGTCCCGGCCTGGTCTCGGTCTCAGGCCCGGTCTGGTCCCGGCCTGGTCCTGGTCTGGTCTGGTCTCGGTCTCAGTCCCACTCTGGTTTTGGTCTGGTCCCGGTCTGGTCTCAGTCCTGATCTCAGTCTCAGTCTGGTCCCAGCCTGATCCTGGTCTGGTCTCGGTCTCAGTCCCGCTCTGGTCCCGGTCTGGTCTCAGTTTCAGTCTGGTCCCGGCCTGGTCCTGGTCTGGTCTTGGTCTCAGTCCCGCTCTGGTCCCGGTTTCAGTTCTGATCTCGGTCCCGGTCTGGTCCCGGTCTGGTCCCGGACCTGGATCAGTCCTGGTTCAGTCCGTATGCGGTGCAAAAGTCCGGCATCGCAGTTTAAGTCACGGAAACGTCATTATCCGTTTTTTCCATTTTTCATTTAAACACAAAATCGAAAACTGAAAAAAAAAGGAATCATCATCTGTTTTTTGATTTTCGTTTTGGAGACAAATAATGAAGAAAACCGTTGTTTTTTCATTTTCTTATTTTTGGTTTTATATTGAAAAACGAATGAACGAACGACACACGGATTCCTAACGTATACAACAATTTTTGAACGGAAAACTTCTGTGGACTGTGGAAAACCGAACGGAAAACCAGACGTGTCCACCCAACGCACAAAACATCCAAAAACTTTACCAAACCAATCACGTTGGCCCGTGCCTCTCAGCGTCGCGTTGTTTTGCACCTTTCGTGGTAATGAAGGGAAAACTGCACCGCCGGTTGGTCAACAGGGAAAGTCTCTATATATTTTTTTATTTTTTACTCTTTGCATGAACTTGAAGTATTATCGACAATCTTCTTTGTTTTTTCGAAAATGGCTGACACAGTTCGTTATGTTACCTTGTTTGATATTGGACGAGGGAGCGCTTTGGTTTTGATTCGCGCTCGAAATTACGTCGCCAGTGTATTCATTAGTTTAAGTATAAGTCAGTCTCACATTTAGCACATTTTATTTTAGTATTAAACTCATTACATTCGTTTCTTTTGCTGCTTTTTGCACCACTGGTAGCTATTAATGTATGAGAAAACCATACATGCTTACACACTATCCTTTGTACATAATGTAAATATAAAAATTCAGTAAGTCTCGATTTGGAGAGGCGTTGGATTTCCGTGTAGAATTCGCCATTTTTTGGTTTTTAACTGTATAGCCCATTGACTTTGTGATACCGTAGTGAGAAAACATTGGTTCGTACGCTCGCTAGTCCTCCTCCTCCTCCTCCCGTAGTCTCCTTTTTGTAAATACGATCCATTTTAGCACTCGTTTTACCATCGTGCTGCTTTGTACATAAGCACTCTTGTCTGTACTTGGCTTTGTCTGTTCAAACGTGTAAATACAAAAAGATTTTCTAAGAACGAACTTTCTGGAGTCTTGTTTTTTGTTAATTCTGTCATAAGAGTTTGCAAAAATTATCGGAAAATTTCCAGGTTCAGATTAAACCTGGTGATTTGTCCCAGTTTTATCAGTTTGATCTAAACGAGAACTGTATCAGATCTAAGACAGGTCTAAACCAGGTCTAAACCAGGACTATATCAGATCTAAGCCAGGTCTAAACCAGGTCTAAACCAGGACTGTAACAGGTCTAAACCAGGTCTAAACCAGGACTATATCAGATCTAAGCCAGGTCTAAACCAGGACTATATCAGATCTAAGCCAGGTCTAAACCAGGTCTAAACCAGGTCTAAACCAGGACTGTATCAGGTCTAAACCAGGACTGTAACAGGTCTAAACCAGGTCTAAACCAAGTCTTAACCAGGTCTAAACCAGGTCTAAAACAAGTCTTAACCAGGTCTAAACCAGGACTGTATCAGGTCTAAACCAGGTCTAAACCAGGACTGTATCAGGTCTTAACCAGGTCGAAACCAGGACTGTATCAGGTCTAAACCCGGTCTAAACTTGAACTGTATCAGGTCTAAACCAGGTCTAAGCCAGGTCAAAACCAGGTCTAAACCAAGTCTTAACCAGGACTGTATCAAGTCTGAACCAGGTCTAAGCCAAGCCTAAACCAGGACTGTAACAGGTCTAAACCAGGTCTAAAACAGGTCTAAACCAGGACTGTATCAGGTCTAAACCACGTCTAAACTTGAATTGTATCAGGTCTAAACTAGGTCTAAAACAGGACTGTAACAGGTCTAAGCCAGGTCTAAACCAGGACTATATCAGATCTAAGCCAGGTCTAAACCAGGACTGTATCAGGTCTAAACCAGGTCTAAACCAGGACTATATCAGATCTAAGCCAGGTCTAAACCAGGACTGTATCAGGTGTAAGCCAGGTCTAAACCAGGTCTAAACCAGGTCTAAACCAGGTCTAAACCAGGTAAACTAAACAGGTCTAAATCAGGTCTAAACCAGGACTGTAACAGGTCTAAACCGGGACTGTATCAGGTCTAAACCGGGTCTAAACTTGAACTGTATCAGGTCTAAAACAGGTCTAAGCCAGGTCTAAACCAGGACAGTAACAGGACTAAACCAGGACTGTAACAGGACTAAACCAGGACTATATCAGGTCTAAGCCAGGTCTAAACCAGGACTATATCAGGTCTAAGCCAGGTCTAAACCAGTTGCACTTTATTACAGTTCTGGTCAGGAAATCTGTCACCTGTTTTGTCTTGAATGTTCCGCAGTGTGGCATTAAACTAGTCTACCTCGGATTTATTTCTCTACAGGTGTTTTTAAAGCTGAAAATACCTTGAACCTTGACTCAAAGCAACAAAAATGAAACTTGCAAAACACCCTCCAAAAACCTCTATATCCATGAGTTTTAGAATAAAGAAAAAAAATGGGACTGTTATGACAGAGCGGACATGTCAAACTCAAATATTTATATATGTATTTTTTCTCATAGAAACAGAAACGACTGTGGCCATACAGGCTCAGCAGGTCGGTTCTGGTCAGTACTTGGATGAGAGACACTGGGAAAATCAGGAGCCAGAGTAGGGCACCAGTCACAATAACTGTTGTGTGTGTGTGATGTGTGTGTGTGTGTGTGTGTGTGTGTGTGTGTGTTGGCGGTCCGAGGGGCAGAGGTGTGAACATCTGAAGAGAACATGAAAAAGTGTGAAAAGATCTGGGTGAAACATTTGATAAATGCACATATTTATACATGAACAGACAAATACAATATAAATTTACATTAAATATTGTCAGAATATTTTATTTTCTGAACAGAGGAGCAAATGAGAAGAATCTGTGTGAATAATTCAGAATTCTTAAAAATGTCTTTTGTATTAATAAAATCTTGTTGAGATAAATCTTGTCATGTCGAACCCCAAACCATGTGACAATACATGATGTAAGGAGAGATTCAACTATAATGTCATTTCATTTATTTATTTATTTATTTGTTTGAGCCAGGTCCAACAAAATAAAAAAAATATATAGATATAAATAAATACATTTTAAAAATAACAAAAACAGGGATATATGCATGAACATATTTGGGACCTGGTGCTCAAAAGGAGTAGGATGAAGTTTAAAAAAAATGATAGCATCCGACTCCAGTTGTTTTACATAATCGTGTGGTTCACACTTTTTTTTTTTTTTTTTTTAAACATACCACCTTTCGAGTGCATTGAGTCAATTTACACACAAACATACATACATATATACATACATACATACACACACACACACACACATATATATATATGTGTGTGTGTGTATATTACATTATATACATATATATATATACACACATGTATATTATATATATATATATACATATATATACATACATACACACACACACCATTATATATATATACATACATATACATACATATATATATATATATATATATATATATATACACATACATATATACATACACACATATACGCATCATAGATATATTCAATATAAATATTTATACATATGCATAACACACATATACACACCTGCTTAAATATATTTTCGTTTATGGTCATACAACTAATAATAATAATAATGTTTTCATAGGCACAAAGTTTATCATTTATGATCGTACAAAATAAACAGAATGAGGATGATAAATTTAAGGATTTTTGTTTTCGTTTACGGTCGTACAAACTAATAATAGTAATGAAGAAGGCAAAAAATATAATATAAAGTCATCATGCATGAAACATTAATACAGGAGCCAACTTTACTCAAAATGCCAATGGATTTCATCACTTTTTTTCGACAAACATGTTGGGTATGATATTTCGGGGTTACTTTTTGATCAACAATCACCCGTAAAAACTTAATTTGAACAACTTGGCTCATTGTGATGCCACCAACCATCAACACCATCATACCTGTCAAACACCACAGACAAAAAAAAAAAAAAAAAAAAAAAAAACGTGAGTCATGCAGTTGTGTTTGCATACCTGCATATCTGATTTGACATTGTGCCAGAGAGTCACTGTGGGCGGAGGAAACATGCATTGAAAACGTGCGGACTTCCCGTGTTGGCTTCAGTGCGTCTGCAGAAACACACGCGTTTCCAGACATGTCGTGTTTTCTGATCTGTGGAGCGCTTTTCGTCGCGGCTGCGTACGTTTACCACGAGATTATAGTGAAAGGAAAACGATGCACCAGCAACGTCAAACTGCACGGGAAGACGGCCATAGTTACGGGTAATTACGAGTATTTTAACTTTAATTTGCATATTTAAAGACGCACTGTGTAACTTTTAGATGGAATATTTCACAGTAGATCCTCTGTTTATATTGATTTTCTTAAACTTGCTTTAATTGCTCAAAATTATTATCGTGAAAGTGGACTCGCCTCTCCATAGAACTGACCTGCAGTGTTGTGGAGTAACAGATTACATGTACCAGCGTTATGTAATCAGAGTACAAATTATGAGTAACTGTATTCAGTTACAGTTACTGTTTCAGTGAGTGGTAATTGGATTACAGTTACTTTGTTGAAATAAATGGATTACACAGAGGGATTTTAAACCAGGACTAAACCAGGACTAAAACCAGGTCTAAACCAGGACTAAACCAGGTCTAAACACTAAAACAGGTCTAAACCAGGACTAAAACCAGGTCTAAACCAGGACTAAACCAGGTCTAAAACCAGGTCTAAACCAGGTCTAAACCAGGACTAAAACCAGGTCTAAACCAGGACTAAAACCAGGTCTAAACCAGGACCAGGTCTAAACCATATCTAAACCAGGACTAAAACCAGGTCTAAACCAGGACTAAAACCAGGTCTAAACCAGGTAAACCAGGTCTAAACCAGGACTAAACCAGGTCTAAACCAGGTCTAAACCAGGACTAAACCAGGTCTAAACCAGGACTAAACCTAAACCAGGTCTAAACCAGGTCTAAAACCAGGTCTAAACCAAGACTAAACCAGGACTAAACCAGGACTAAAACCAGGTTCTAAACCAGACTAAACCAGGACTAAAACCAGGTCTAAATCAGGTCTAAACCAGGACTAAAAACCAGGTCTAAACCAGGACTAAACCAGGTAGGTCTAAAACCAGGTCTAAACCAGGACTAAACCAAAGGACTAAAACCAGGACTAAAACCAGGTCTAAACAGGACTAAACCAGGACTAAAACCAGGTCTAAACCAGGATTAAACCAGGTCTGAAACCAGGACTAAACCAGGACTAAACCAGGACTAAACCAGGTCTACTAAAACCAGGTCTAAACAGGACTAAACCAGGTCTAAACCAGGTAAACTAAACCAGGTCTAAACCAGGACTAAAACCAGGTCTAAACCCAGGACTAAACCAGGTCTAAAACCAGGTCTAAATCAGGTCTAAACCAGGTTTAAACCAGGACTAAACCAGGTCTAAATCAGGTCTAAACCAGGACTAAACCAAGACTAAACCAGGACTAAAACCAGGTCTAAACCAGGACTAAACCAGGACTAAAACCATGTCTAAACCAGGTCTAAACCAGGTCTAAATCAGGTCTAAACCAGGTCTAAACCAGGTCTAAACCAGGACTAAACCAGGACTAAAACCAGGTCTAAATCAGGTCTAAACCAGGTCTAAATCAGGACTAAACCAGGACTAAACCAGGACTAAACCAGGACTAAACCAGAACTAAACCAGGACTAAACAGTGTGGCACTAACAGCAGGTGGACATAATTTAAGATGATCTCATATAAAAATAATTTCTCTATCAAATACATTTTTAATCTGGTTAAGTAAAGACTGGTCTTTTTTTATTTTTTGGCAGATAAAATAAAACTAATTGTGGCTGTTTTTAAATGTTTTGAGTTATTTTGAAAGTGTCATTTTTTTGTTAGTTTCCACACATAGTTTTGTCTTCGGTGAGAATCTAAAATGGAAATAATCGCGGGAATAAAAAAGGAAAATGAATGAAAACGTGTCCAAACCTTATGTCTTTGTGTATAAATGTACCTGTGTTCACGATGACTGGGCACTTACAATGACTCAGCTGGAATTCTGCTTTCACTGCCGGATTAACTGATAATAATTATGTAATGATTATATTTCAATAGTAAATCGATTGAATGACTCATTATTTCTTGTGTGTGGGAGATTAAAGCCATAAAAATGAGACCAGACAAAACTAAACCAGGTCTAAACCAGGACTAAACCAGGTCTAAAACCAGGTCTAAACCAGGACTAAACCAGGTCTAAAACCAGGACTAAACCAGGTCTAAACAGGACTAAAACCAGGACTAAACCAAGACTGAACCAGTATTAAACCAGGACTAAAACCAGGTCTAAACCAGGACTAAACCAGGTCTAAAACCAGGTCTAAAACCAGGTGTAAACCAGGTCTAAACCAGGACTAAACTAGGACTAAACCAGGTCTAAACCAGGACTAAACCAGGTCTAAACCAGGACTTAAAACCAGGTCTAAACCAGGTCTAAACCAGGACTAAACTAGGAACTAAACCAGGTCTAAACCAGGACTAAACCAGGTCTAAAACCAGGTCTAAACAGGACTAAACCAGGTCTAAACCAGGTCTAAACCAAAGGACTAAACCAGGTCTAAACCAGGTCTAAACCAGGACTAAACCAGGTCTACTAAACCAGGTCAGGTCTAAACCAGGACTAAACCAGGACTAAAACCAGGTCTAAACAGAACCAGAAAACCAGGTCTAAACCAGGTCTAAACCAGGTCTAAACCAGGACTGAAAATCAGGTCTAAACCAGGTCTAAACCAGGACTAAACCACCAGGTCTAAAACCAGGACTAAAAGGCTAAACAGGTCTAAACCAGGACTAAACCCAGGTCTAAACCAGGACTAAACCAGGACTAAAACCAGGTCTAAACCAGGTCTAAACCAGGACTAAACCAGGACTAACCACTAAACCAGGTCTAAACCAGGTCTAAAACCAGGACTAAACCAGGACTAAACCAGGACGAAATCAGGTCTAAACCAGGACTTAAACCAGGACTAACACCAGGTCTAAACCAGGACTAAACCAGGTCCTAACCAGTAAAACCAGGTAAACCAGGTAAACCAGGACTAAACCAGGACTAAACCAAACCTAAACCAGGTCTCTAAACCAGGTCTACTAAAACCAGGTAAACCAGGTCTAAACCAGGTAAAACTAAACAGGTCTAAACCAGGTCTACCAGGTAACCAGGACTAAACCAGGACTAAAACTAACAGGTCTAAACCAGGAACCAGGACTAAACACCAGGGTCAAAACTAAACAGGACTCTCTAAACCAGGACTAAACCAGGTCTACTAAACCAGGCTCCAGGTCTAAACCAGGACTAAACCAGGACTAAACCAGGAGGTCTAAACCAGGACTAAACCAGGTCTAAACCAGGTCTAAACCAGGACTCTAAA